ATCCTGAAAGTTTGAAATCGATGTGATATTCCGAAGTATTTTTCAGGATTCTTCAAAGGTGATTTAACGTGAATTTTCCAACTTTTTTTGTTATAAAGTTGGAAAAAAATTTCATAATTCTATTTCTGAGCTTCAGATTGACTTCAAATTTGCCTGGTTTGATGAAAATATCCTGTTTAATAAATCCTGAAAGTTTAAAATCGATCTGATACTCCGAAGTATATTTCAGGATTCTTCAAAGGTGATTTAACGTGAATTTTCCAACTTTTTCAGTTATGAAGTTGGAAAAAATCTTATGATTCTATTTCTGAGCTTCAGATTGACTTCAAATTTGCCTCGTTTGATGAAAACATCTTAGTTAGTAAATCCTGAAAGTTTGAAATCGATGTGATATTCCGAAGTATTTTTCAGGATTCTTCAAAGGTGATTTAACGTGAATTTTCCAACTTTATCTATTATAAAGTTTGAAAAAACCTCATAATTCTATTTCTGAGCTTCAGATTGACTTCAAATTTGCCTCGTTTGATGAAAAAATCTTAGTTAATAAATCCTGAAAGTTTGAAATTGATCTGATACTCCGAAGTATTTTTCAGGATTCTTCAAAGGTGATTTAACGTGAATTTTCCAACTTTTTTTGTTATAAAGTTGGAAAAACCTCATAATTCAATTTCTGTGCTTCAGATTGACTTCAAATTTGCCTCATTTGATGAAAACATCTTAGTTAATGAATCCTGAAAGTTTAAAATCGATCTGATATTCCGAAGTATTTTTCAGGATTTTTCAAAGGTGATTTAACGTGAATTTTCCAACTTTTTCTGGTATTGAGTTGGGAAAAACCACATAATTTTATTTCTGAGCTTCAGATTGACTTCAAATTCGCCTCGTTTGATGAAAAAATCTTAGTTAATAAATCCTGAAAGTTTGAAATTGATCTGATACTTCGAAGTATTTTTCAGGATTCTTTAAAGGTGATTTAACGTGAATTTTCCAACTTTTTTTGTTATAAAGTTGAAATAAACCTCATAATTCTATTTCTAAGCTTCAGATTGACTTCAAATTTGCCTCGTTTGATGAAAACATCTTAGTTAATAAATCCTGAAAGTTTAAAATCGATCAAATACTCTGGAGTATTTTTCAAAGGTGATTTGACGTGAATTTTCCAACTTTTTCTGGTATTAAGTTAGGAAAAACCTCATAATTTTATTTCTGAGCTTCAGATTGACTTCAAATTTGCCTCGTTTGATGAAAACATCTTAGTTAATAAATCCTGAAAGTTTGAAATCGATCTGATACTCTGAAGTATTTTTCAGGATTTTTCAAAGGTGATTTAACGTGAAATTTCCAACTTTTTCTGTTATAAAGTTTGAAAAAACCTCATAATTCTATGTCTGAGCTTCAGATTGACTTCAAATTTAATTCGTTTGATGAAAACATATTGGTTAATGAATCCTGAAAGTTTGAAATTGATCTGATACTCTGAAGCATTTTTCAGGATTCTTCAAAGGTGATTTGACGAAAATTTTCCAACTTTTTCTGTTATAAAGTTGGAAAAAACCTCATAATTCTATTTTAGGGCTTCAGATTGACTTCAAATTTGTCTTATTTGATGAAAACATCCTGGTTCATAAATCCTGGAAGCTTGAAATCCATCTGATACTCCGAAGTGGATTTTTCAAAGGTGATTTAACGTGAATTTTCCAACTTTTTTTGTTATAAAGTTGGAAAAAACCTCATAATTCTATTTCTTAGCTTCAGATTGACTTCAAATTTGCCTCGTTTGATGAAAACATCTTAATTAATAAATCCTGAAAGTTTGAAATCGATTTGATACTCCGAAGTATTTTTCAGGATTCTTCAAACGTGATTTGACGTGAATTTTACATCAAAAATTTTGACTAAAATCAAACTTTAAGGCTCAATTTCTCAGATAATGTGTAAGCTATAAACACCAAATTATGCTCATTTCATAGAGAATTAATTGCTCTTGCAGATGATATATTATTTAAATTCAGTTGTTCAAACATAATTCAAATTATTCACGAAACAACTTCCAAAGAATTCATAAAGTAATTCGCACGGATTTTTAAAGTATTTCTAAAGCTGTTTTCAAACTATTCAAAAGTTATTTTAAACCATTTAGAACTACTTCACAAGCATCAGAAATTCTGAATTTCACAAATTGAATTTTACAAAAATATTTTACAGAGCGATAAAGGATACGAGTTTTCAAAAAATATATATTATTAATAATTCTGCTTACAAATCCTCAATTCTCAAGACACTTCAGAGTTTTCTAATGACTCACATTCACAATTTCTAATACATGGAGCTTTTTCAAAATCGCTCTGTTTTAAATGATTCATTCTAAAATTCTAAAGAATTCAGAAAATAAGTGTGAATCAACATCCCAATTTCGTCAGAGAGTTTACAGTTCTAGAAGTCTTTAAAATGTTTTGAGTTGTTTTTGAAGCTTCTGAAGTCACATTAACAGCATCTGAAGTCACTTTCAATAGTTTTGAACAGTCCAAAATTGCAGAAGTTCTAGTTGTAATGAATTAAGAGCAACTTAAAGTGTTTTAAGAAACTTCCAAAGAATCCAGTCATTCTCAGTCAGTCAGTCAGTCAAGCAGGTTAGAGTTAATTTCAAATAAATTAATTACATAAATTTTGAATTCTAGTTGAAAAGCGTCTGAATCAACGTTCAAATTACTTTGGATTTTGATTTCCACATTTTAGAATTCAGAACTTATGAGTAGAACACAGCAATTTCCCTGATTTTCATGTTATTCGGATAAAATACTCACCTGAGTAGATAAATTTTTCTCCCTAGTTTGAAAACTAACACAGTTCAGGTTAATTCGTACCTATTAACCAAACTTTGAAATTCAATAACTTAGAGACTGTGTGAGCAATCAATACGAAATTATGTTCATTTTATAGAGAATTCAATGCTCTTTTATGCTTAACACGATCTTATCTCAGGAACTTTAAGTCCAAATGAGTTGAAATTTTCAGGAATTGGAGTCCTCTACTGGAAAAAGAATCGCTGACAATTTTAGCTTTATATCTTCAATAGAAAAAAAGTTATGACCTTTTAAAATTTTCTAAAATCTAAATCATAAGGTAGGTAGGTATCTTCTTACTAAATGGATGAAATTTCAAATTTTTTTTGTCGAAATTTTGTGTCCTAATGGTCATTTGGGATCCCCCAAACTGCATACACTAAATTATTCTCAGATTTGAAGCCGAAATTTATGGAAAAAGGCACTCAGAAAAATTGAAAAATTGATAAATCACCCCAAATTGCTTAACATAAGATTATCTCAGGAAATATAGGTCCAAATGAGTTGAAATTTTCAGGGATTGTAGTCCCTTCATTGGGATAAAATTCAGTGAAAATTTCAGCTCTCTATACATAATAGAAAAAAAGTTATGACCTTTCAAAGTTTTCCAAAATCTGAATCAAAAGGTAGGTAGGTACCTTCCTACTAAAACGATGAAATTTCAAATTATTTTTTATCGAGATTTTGTGTCCTGATGGTCATTTGGGATCCCCCAAACTCCACACACTAAATTATTCTCAGATTTGAAGCCGAAATCTATGAAAAAAGGCCCTCAGAAAATTGAAAAATTGACAAACCACCCCAAATTGCTTAACACGATTTTATCTCAGGAACTATAGGTCCAAATGAGCTGAACTTTTCAGGGATTGTAGTCCTCTATTGGAGTAAGAATCGCTGAAAATTTCAGCTTTCTATCTAAAATAGAAAAAAAGTGATGACCTTTCAAAATTTTCCAAAATCTAAATCAGAGCTTTGACCAAAATTATACTTTGAGGCTCGATAATTCAGAAACTGTTTGAGTGACCAATACCAAATTATACTCATTCTATAGAGAATTTAATGCTCCTTCAGATGGTATATAATGTAAATCAAATTGTATAAACCTAATACAAAATATTGCCAATTATTCATGCTTTAGTGAGTTGAAATTAACTTAAAAAAAGCAATCTCCAAAGAATTCAAAAAGTCATTCGCACAGATTCTTAAAGTTTTCCTAAAGCATTGTTTAAACTGTTTAGAGTTCATTTTAAATAATCTGAAATTATAAAGTTTACAAATTACATTTTACTAGAATTATACAGTCCGATGAAGGATGCGAGTTTTCAAAAATATATTCTTAATAATTCTGCCTTAACTTAACAACATTCTACTAGCTCTGTGGATACTCTAGACCTTTCTAATGATTCACATTTACAATTTTTAATGTATCGAGCCTATCCAAAATCAATCAATTCATTCTGAAATTCTGTATTCTGCAAATTGTTCTAATGAGTTCAAAATAAGTAGAAAAATGTCTGAACCAACGTCAAAGAGTTTACAGTTCCAAACGTATTCAGAAACTAGTTTCAAGAAATGTTCTGAGTCGTTTTTGAAGCTTCTGAATTCACATAATAATTCTGAGTTTTTCAAATTATCGTTATTCATGAGAAGAAAATAGATTTGGAATATAATTTTTGCTAAAACTTAACTTTAAAACTTAATAACGCGGAAACTATGTGAGCTACTGAGACCAAATCTAGCTCAGCTCAAAGATAATTTGAAGATAGTTCAGAACATTTGGAAAACTAAACCTTCTAGAGCATGCCAGGAAATTACACAACACGAGATTTTCTTGGAATATTTCGAACTTCTTAACTACCTATATATCCAGAGATGTTATTGTAATTTGTAAGTTAAGTGTAGTTCATATGTTAACAAATAATGTAGAATACTCTGTAGAATATCAACAATTTGATAAGAAATATTATACATTATTAAAGAGCTTTAGTTTCTGGCATAATTCAAAAGAAAAACCTTTTGACTTTTTAAAAATATTGAGAATTGTTGGGGGAAAAAAAAGGTAAAGAGGGTGCGAGATAATTTTTTAATTAAAAATTCCCCCCCTCAAGCTTTTTTCTTCTAATTTAGGGACACGCACATAAAAAAAAAAGTTGTTACCTTAATTGCATCAAAAGTCAAAACCAAATAATCTTGGCATACGCACTCATGAAAATAATAATAATCCTTCAATAAAGCACAACACAAAAATAAATTCCTGAATCTACAAAATTCACACAAAATCCACCAAGCAAAAAATCCCACAAAGAAAATGTGCCGCAGTACACCACGCGTTTTTTTTTTTTTTCTCTCCTAGGAGCTTTAAGGCTCACACGGTTTCAGCGGTTCGACTGAGACTGAAATCGGGCCCGCCGCTGAAAAGCGCTGAATGCGTTGCACGCGAACGACAACGACCGACTGAAGACACGGTCCCCGGTATCGGTTCGCCGGAACAAGGACGGCGAAATATAACAGCTATGACTGGACAAGGACAGACAGAGACCTGGGACGTAATTATAAAGGGAATCAGAAACAACGCAGTCTTGTTCGGGAGGATCAAGTAGCGCCATGCAGTATTAGCGACTCTACAAAGACGTTCTTTGGATTAATTAGTGTAATCAGTGTCCTGGGTTTTTTTTTGGGAGAGCGGGGCTTAGGGTTCCTTTCGAAATCCCTATCGGGGATAAATGTTGGACAGATTGTCCTTTTTTTTTTTTGATGGACATGAATCAATTTTGATTCATTGACTTTTACAATTTTGGAACAGATTCATATGATGTTAAATTGGAAATCTTATAATTAGTTTGATAGAAATGTTAAGGATCAGAAGATTCATGAATCATTTATTTCACTAGTGATTCATGGTGTTATGTTCAAAATCATGGATCATTTAATTCATTAAGTTTTGCAACTTGAAATTGATTCATATGTGCGTTGCCTTCAAATCAGGATAACTTGTTGCAGATCATGAATCATTTAATTCATAAATAAATAAAATTGTCTATACACTAACTTACTCCAACTTGGTAACTCATCGCTGCTGGAGACCCTTTTTTTTTCTCAATGTCGGCTACCTTGTCAGGTGTATAACAGGTAGGCAATGGTACCCCAATCAAGATCAACTCGAGAGCCACCTTTCGTGATTAGTAAAAAAGAAGAAACAGAGGCCGAAAAAAGAAGAGTGAACATCACATCAGTCAAGAACTCGTTTTAATTCGAATTAGACGATGGTTGGCTTTTTTTGCTTTTAGGGGTTCTACGTGACTTTAGCAATTAGATTTTTTAAAAACATAAATCTTGGTTGGTATTTTTTAACACCCAGAAGTCCAATTTTTGATGTTGCTGGTTTTTGGTATTGAAATACAAATAAATGACTTTGGTATCGGGTAACGATGTTCTTGCCTGTAGAGTGAATTTACATTTTTGCCTAAATAAAACATTAAATTTACCATAATAAATATTTCAATGTTGGAAGACAGCTCAAATGTATAATATTAATTAGTTACTATCGAATAAATTTACATATACAATCAGTTTCGGCGCCATATTTGGAAGAATATGGCAGTATTGACAAGTAACAAAAGTATTAATTCCGCAAAGACATCTGGCAAAGAGAGTTAAGAAAAAAAAAATGACAAAAACAGAACGAAAGTAATTAGTGAAATGAGGGATACTGTTTTTGAAATGTTCGCCCAGAGGGGATGTAACTTTTTACGATGCTAACGTAAAGCGTTAAAAAGGAAACTTTAAGATAACCTCCTTAAGGATGTTGTCCTTTGAAAGGACGAATCTGTTAATTAGACACCCCGGCTTAGAACTTGCCTCCGAGGAAAAATAAAATGTGGGAGTTGATTCAGAAAAAAACAGAATTTTATCTGAAAGTTGATATTTGGATACGGAGCTTCAAAATTTTTTATCTGTGTATTTCCTCTTTAGATTTTCTCTCAGACAGGAATTGATTGCATATATTTCTGCTTGGAATACAGTAGTGTATTCTCCCAGAGATTGACTGATGTCGCATCTGGAAGTTTGTCCATATATTCCAGTTTCTGTTTTGAAGCCGTCAGTGAACCAGACAATTTCTTGTTCAGGTGTTGCCTCGGTATTTCCTACTGGGATAATCTCGATGGCGAAGAGTTTTTCGAAGGATTTTTTCGGCATCATTATAGTAGCTACCCATGGCTAAAATAGGGTTCCAAGTTTTGGGTTCCAGGCTTCGTTCAGCTGGGGATGATATGCCCTGAAGGCTAGACTTCACAAAAACATAGAAGTGTCTGGATTTTGGCTAGCTCTAGGTTTGCTTGTCTTTGGATTTGATCCATCTGCATATTGCCTAGCAGCTCTGACTATAGAGTTGAATGAGGTGTGGTCAAAGGCTCCTTCTATGTCAAGGAATGCAACTAGTGCGATTTCCTTGTTTTCTAGTGAGTTCTCTACTCTTGTCACCAATTGGTGTAGAGCTGATTCGCATGATTCACCTGGCTAGTTTTGGTGAGGTAGTTTCTGTTTCAGTGAGGTTTCCCTCACTCTTCGGAAGATTGCTGGTGCGTTCTTTAATCCAAAAGGCATTCTGTTAAATTCATAATGGACATTTTCAATAATAAATTGGTTCTCGAATTTTCAAGCATCTCGACTTGATGAAAGCCAAAGGCTGAATCCAGTGTCGTAAAATAGTTACAACATTCAAGTAGGTCTAATATATCACTGATATTAGGTAGTAGATATCTATCATCAATAGTTTTTTTGTTTTCGTTTTCAACTAGTTTCTCTGTCAGCTTTAATATAAACTGTATGACCTGGCTTGAGATGGGTCACTGCCAGGTTTTGGGAAAAAGACCGCTTTTACTTCTTTTCAGGACCCAGGAATATAGCTTGTTGCCAGGCTGGCTCTGCAGAGGTGTGGTGCTACAAGGTCCACTGTCTTTTGTAGGAATACTGGTATTATTTCATCTGGTCCCGGTGATTTGAAGCTGTCAAATGAGCCTAATTGTCCATTTAATACCATGGTAAGTTACCGCTTTACTAGCAAGTTCTCAGTCCTCCTTTTTCGCTCTGTCGACGGAAAGCGGCACGGCTTGATGGGTTTCTTCTATCAGGGTCGAGTCTGGAAAATGGGTTTGAAGAAGTAAACTTAAAGTATCTTCCCCAGTGAAGTTTCCGTCAAGCTTTTCAATGATTCCCGTAGCCTCTGTTTCAGTTAGGTTTCTCTCACTCTTTGGAAGATTGCTGGTGCGTTCTTTAATCCAAAAGGCATTCTGTTAAATTCGTAATGGACATTTTCAATAATAAATTGGTTCTCGAATTTTCAAGCATCTCGACTTGATGAAAGCCAAAGGCTGAATCCAGTGTCGTAAAATAGTTACAACATTCAAGTCGGTCTGATATATCACTGATATTAGGTAGTAGATATCTATCATCAATAGTTTTTTTGTTTTCGTTTTCAACTAGTTTCCCTGTCAGCTTTAATATAAACTGTATGACCTGGCTTGAGATGGGTCACTGCCAGGTTTTGGGATAAAGACCGCTTTTACTTCTTTTCAGGACCCAGGAATATAGCTTGTTGCCAGGCTGGCTCTGCAGAAGTGTGGTGCTACAAGGTCCACCGTCTTTTGTAGGAATACTGGTATTATTTCATCTGGTCCCGGTGATTTGAAGCTGTCAAATGAGCCTAATTGTCCATTTAATACCATGGTAAGTTACCGCTTTACTAGCAAGTTCTCAGTCCTCCTTTTTCGCTCTGTCGACGGAAAGCGGCACGGCTTGATGGGTTTCTTCTATCAGGGTCGAGTCTGGAAAATGGGTTTGAAGAAGTAAACTTAAAGTATCTTCCCCAGTGAAGTTTCCGTCAAGCTTTTCAATGATTCCCGTAGCCTCTGTTTCAGTTAGGTTTCTTTCACTCTTTAGAAGGTTGCTGGTGCGTTCTTTAATCCAAAAGGCATTCTGTTAAATTCGTAATGGACATTTACAACAATAAATTGGTTCTCGAATTATCAAGCATCTCGACTTGATGAAAGCCAGAGGCTGAATCCAGTGTCGTAAAATAGTTACTACATTCAAGTCGGTCTAATATATCACTGATATTAGGTAGTAGATATCTATCATCAATAGTTTTTTTGTTTTCGTTTTCAACTAGTTTCTCTGTCAGCTTTAATATAAACTGTATGACCTGGCTTGAGATGGGTCACTGCCAGTTTTTGGGAAAAAGACCGCTTTTACTTCTCTTCAGGACCCAGGAATATAGTTTGTTGCCAGGCTGGCTCTGCACAGCCTGTAGATGTGTGGTTCTACAAGGTTCATTGTCTCTTGTAGGAGTACTGGTATTATTTAATCTGGTCCCGGTGATTTGAAGCTGTCAATGAGTCCATTTTATGCCATGGAAAGTTAGCGGAACGGCTTGATGGGTTTCTGCTATCAGGGGTCACTTCGGTGGAGTCTGGAAAATGGGTTCGAATATTAATGTGTCCTTTCCATTTTTTGTGAAGTTCTCGTCAGGCTTATTTTTAATGGTTCCCGTTGGTTCTATCGGACTCTTGGCTAGAATTTTCTGGAAACGGGCTCTTCCGGAAGAGTTTTCAACTAAGCTGTAGAACTTCTTCTAGGAAGTTATTATTCATGATAGATTAAAGTGCAAATACAATTCAAAAATTAGTTACGTTATGTACCTGTGAGGTTCAGTACCATACTTCATGTGCATTTCTAATTCCAGGCCTGGTAGCAGTTGGTAAGAAGAATTATGTGAAATGCTTTCTCACCATGAAAAGTGAGGTTAATGACACTAACAGTCTAGTACCTGTAATGCAAGCTAATAAAGCCTTTCTAACAGAGCTTCAGCCATGTGAAGCTGCAATTTTAAGTGATTTAAACGAAAAAGGACGACAAATTTGTGAAAAAATCGACTTGTTACAGGCAAATGTAACGATAAATTTGCAAACATCCCAAGAAACAAACTGAAGCTTGGCATCATCGCAAAATCAAAATTCAGACACTGTCATTAGAAAGTTAATCCAAAATCAGCTGCCGCTGGCTGGCCAGTTACCTCCTTCTTCTTCTTTCTCAAGAGTGAACCCTAGCAACAAGAAAGATAAACACAATACAATAAGGTAATAAGGAAAGTGTGAAAATTAAACAAATCTATGCATGATTCTCCTGATTGGCAGGCATATTTGTTTTGGTGAAGTAGCCTCTGTTTCAGTGAGGTTTCTCCTCAGAGGGGTTTCTCTCACTTATCGGAAGGTTGCTGGTGTGTTCTTCAATCCAAAGAGCATTCTGTTAAATTCGTAATGGCCATTTTTAACCTCAAATGTTGCAATTTTAAGTGATTTAAACGGAAAAAACGACAAATTTGTGAAAAAATCGACTTGTTATAGGAAAATGTAACGATAAATCTGCAAATATCCCAAGAACTAAACTGAAGCTTGGCATCATCGCAAGATCAAAACCCAGACACCGTCATTAGAAGGCCAATAGGCAAATAAATAAACACAGACAAAATTATTCTGAGTCAAGTCAGTGTTGCCATATGGCGGCCAGGTTTACACTGCCATTTTATTTATTTCAAAATCTTACAAAACATCACTCTACAGTGTAAAGCGGGCTGATCAATGGCCAATAGTAATGAACTTTTTTCAAGGTTTCATTATTTTTCACTCCGTAGGTTTGGTTGGACACAGTTTTTTTTTTGTAGTACCACAACTCGACCCCACACCAGCTCCTGAGAAACTGTTCAAGTTGGCAGTTCCACTGTCAAAAAGGGACAAATAAATTTGTAC